TTTCTGGATAGTCTTCCAAAGTCACCCTTAAATCTGGCAAAAAAACAGAGAGACAGTTTCAGATTTAATTGCAACTGCTCAATTAAAATGCTTTCATAGTTCCCTTTCACTTAGATGTACTCATGATACTGTTAATGGATTGGACCGCAGCCTAATCTAGCCTCATGTCAAACTCCGTGATAGTACTCTCATCACAGGGTCCTGCCCGGCCGCTGATTATCTCCATAAGTGCCTCGATCCATGCCAAAGACTGAATGTGAGACGAGTCACTTTGCAGAGATGAGTTATTGGGAGCTGCTAGTCCAGAACAAAGCCCGGTCCTTTATACCAAACTCACTAAATGGTTAGCATTCATGCCGCTCCCTGTCCAATGAACTCGCCACGACCCGGCAGAGTTTATCATCCAATGTGTCTGTCACATCCTTTCTCTCTGTGAACAGATGCAGGTATTAATAGGGAGCCTCGAGGGAGGTTCGAAAGGTTAATGAATCTGTAGCTTTAAGCAATATGGCACCAGATTCACCCTTCACAGATACAAGGAGCAGCAGACCCTCGCCTAGATGAGCAGATGGGTCCTGTGGCATTGAGCATAGTTGGTCGCTTGTACAGTAACAGCTCTGCTTGAATAGAGCTCTAATCCTATAAGTCCCATAATTGTTGCCTCTAATAAGATCACTTTCTTTGGTCGAGTACTTGCTGTCAAATATGATTTAATGCTTATTAATATTTAGGACTTTTATTCGTCAGATCCATACTCCATTGTTCTTCAGGATGGATTAGGAGACGACATGATTTATTAAACTGAAGGACGTGTACATATTACACCACAAAATATGTAAAAGGAAACAGGACAAGTGCAGCATTACATCAGTTTACTTGCACTTTATGCCCTTGCTAAGCCTGAACAGATTTGCCTCAGGCGTGCAGAGCATCCATCCAGTCCTCCTCAGGTGCTGGCCCCACTTATATGAGCATTTATGAGTCATCATGTATTTTGAACTCCCCAGATACCTTATGTTTCCCAGTCTGCTGCACGGGCCTCTTCACATTGACGCAACTCATATTTTGACTGAGGACACCTGCTTGATGATGGAGTCCAGTGTTTCAGCAGCTGAGAGAACAAACTACAGGTCTAACATATGTGGCTTAGTCTGAAGTCATTGTTTAAAAAAATAAAAAAATGGAGAAGCTTAAACTGAACAGCTGGTGCTCACTCTAGACCCAATTTTAATCGAATTATTTTGGGAATCTGTACAGGATGCAATTTGGACCAAATCTCAAGTTACACATCTCTCGTGACCCCAGAGTGCTCTTTGTTGGGCACCAGCTCCTCTAAAAGGTCAGTGCACGATTGTTGAGATATTTCTTTATGCATTACTGCTCTACAGAATTAGCCAAAGAGCTTCCTAATTTATCAGAGTGGCAGGAAACCCTCTCAACAGCACCCCTCTCTATTCATTAAAATTTAAAAGACCGCCGAAGTTACATAAGGATATGCCCTGGGAACACGGAGACCTGAGGTACACGGCACACGCAGGGCTGCTGTGCTTGTTGTCCCAGCAGGCATGAGAGGGACCACCGGAGGAGGGGGAGGAGGGAAGTGTTACAGGATCGTGGGTGGATGTTTCAGCCTCCAGTGACTCAGGTAGCTTCAGTGGAGCAGCAAGAACCAGAACAGGCCTGGTAGTGAAGTGAAAAGTGGCACTGACATATTGGTTGACTGCTGGAGACCCCTGGGGAAGGACAGAGTGTGCCAGTGTGGGATGCTGATGCGGTGTGTAAGTCAGCTGCCCAGTGTTCAGATGATGCAGTGGCAGGTAGCAGGACGGATGTGAATCTCTGTTTATCCTGCATTCTGTTGACAGGCCGATCAGAAGTTTAAAATACGCCCCAGCAGGGCCCCGTCTCACCAGACGACCAGGGGCTGGTCGCTGCTTTCGTCCTGGACTGTTGTCGGATTTATTAGCCACCGTAAATATTTGAATGAGCTCTTCTGGGAGTTGTTACAGTGATGTAAGAGTCGCCGTGTCCTCTCCAGTGTTTACTTTCTAAACGCTACCACCTATGTGGGTGCTCGAGGGACACATCCAGCTCTGTCAGGCAATAAGTTGTGTTATATCACAGGAACAGGCTTTATTGTGTTGGACTGATGTGCCTGTTCTCCTCTCAGGATGTTGGTAAAAATCATAGGAATCAGTTCAGAATTTTCTCTCGTAGGTTTAAAAGCCTTGTTAAATATTTCACCTGCAGCTGCGTGCTTTGAATCGTGCAAATATGGCATAGATAGCCATAAAAATTCTTATTCTTAAGATGAATTGTAACAACTTTGGTGATCCCCTAAACTTTCATCCAGCACCATTATTGAGTCGGAATTTTAATTTTGGATGAGATTTTGTTACTAAGAAAATGCCAGGAAAAACTAATGACATTCCCGTCAGCCTCAGCTGTTTTTTGTGTTTAGGGTATCAAATTCTAGCGCGCTCACATGCTAAACTAAGACTTACCGTGGTAAAATATGCTTGTTTTTACACTGTCATTGTCTGCATGCCACTATATAATAACATGTTAAGTAAAGCATTAAAGCAGATGATGGGTTGATGACTGGGCCATCACAGTCTCACACCAAAATGTGCAAAAACTACATTGGTCCTCAGCAAAAAAACATTCGTTTAAGAACGAAGGCTGTACTTTCTTCTCTCTTTTTTTTTTTGCCCTTTTCCTTTTTACTAGCCTGAGTCTATGTTTCACCCCAAAATGACTTGTGCATATCTTTTGCTTTGCACATGAAAAGAGCGACACAGTCCACATTAGAGACGTGAAGGTGGAGGCACTTGGCGCAGATGACTTCATATCATTTTTACACTTTGTTCTGTTTTTAGGGCTGCAAGGTGGATCAGTGGTTAGCACCATCGCCTCGCAGCTAGAAGATCCCTGGTTTGCATCCTATTTGCAGCGTGGGTTCTCTCCGGGTTCTCCGGCTTCCTCCCACACAATCCAAAAACATGCTGAGGTTAATTAGTGATTCTAAATTGTCTGTAGGTGTGAATGTGAGTGTGCTTGGTTGTCTCTCTCTAAGTGTAGCCCTGTGATAGACTGGTGACCTGTCCAGGGTGTCCCCTGCCTTCACCCTAAGTCAGCTGGGATAGACTCCAGCCCCCTATGATCCTAATGAGGATTAAGCGGAGTATAGATAATGGATGGATGGATAAATGAAAGGTTATTCTTTTAATGGAACTTGGCATCACTGTTTACTTTAACTTTCCACTGCTGTTTTCTAGCTATCTTGCACAACTACTTGGTTACGTTTAGACATCACAAATGACTGTAAGTTTGGAGGAACATAATGGTTTGGGTTAAAATACGCTGATGCTCACCACAAGGCTCCATTTTTTTCTTGAATTGCCATGAGTCTTGCCTCAAAAGTTGCCCCTAAAAGCTGCAAGTGACTCACAGTCTTACAGCTTTTTTGTGTGTGTGTGTGAAATTAATGTGTTTAATACTGTGGACCAGCGCACACATTGATACTGAGTTGACTGTACATGATGTGAAAAGTGTCTCCGGTTGTAGAAAGGCATTAAGACACAACTTTACCTCAGTCTAAGTGTTGTTGCCAGTTTCAGCTCATTTTTGTTTTGCGACAACTTTACACTTTTTTTTTCGTCTCACTGCTTTCATACCATACCAGGCATCTGTTTTCAGCAGAAAAGCTTTAACATCTCCACTGCCTGCTGAAGAATGCCAAATGGCAAACAGACAAAGTTAGCAGCTAGCTGATGAAGGTGAAACATTTAGCAGCTTAAAAGCTGTTTCCCACAGCTGTTGGTGGAGACCAAAAACAGAACAAAAAGAAAAGTGAGTATTGGATTTCTATTTGCTAGATGGCCACAAACATGATTCCAAATGAATGCTGATGCAGCTTTATATTGACTCCATCTGTAAATTAACATTTGCTAAGAATCTCAACAAATCACCTTTAAAGGTCAGTGTTGTATTTTTTTTGCCCCTCTGATGCACACACAAAAAAGCTTTTCTTGCAGATCTGACAACTATGAAGACACATTTTTCAAGTTTAATTATGGTGTTTGGGGGAAAAAAATCATACAGCTTATCTCCTGTGTTTGTTTAGCAAAGAGGGATGAGACAGATGGGAGTAGGTCTTATTTCAAGTGCTTTCCAAAACAGCTGACGCGCTGCTAGATTAAAAATATCAGCATACATCTACATAACGGGCACACCTCACCTGGACAGTCGCAATGAGGCCAATAAAAGTCAGAGAGCTGATCTGTTCATTGCGCCTCTTTGTGACAAATTACAGAGTTGTCTTGGGAGTCGCTGTTCTTTCATTTATTTCCCCACATAGCCGCAAAATTAGAGCCAGGCTCCCATATTATCTTGTCGGGGATCTCTCACCAGTCGTTGATGACAGCATAATTAAATACAGGGATTTAAAAAAAAATAAAAAAATCTAGCAGCCATTTTAACTTGCAGAGAAACTTTGCGGGCTGCAGTGCAAACACCATGTTGGACATTCACCTAAACGTTTGAGAAAGCTGCTGCATGATGAGTGCTTTGGTGTCAGCTGGCTGGTGGTCTGAGCCATCAGTTCAGTTGAGTTTTTCTTTGGCAGTGTGTTGTAAAGTAAACAGTACAAGCATAAATAGTTGTTGCTGTGCGCTGCAGTTCAGTATTAAAGTCTCAGGGCACAGAGATGAGGGGGTCATTTTTGGGTGATGCTGTTGTTGCTGTCAAAACCGATGAACTCTCCTCTCAAATCTGGGCCGTATGCAGTAAAATCCACACCATCCTCAGAATGAACCCCAGCCAAATGTATCAGTGTTTCTGCTTTTGTAGTTGTTGGTTGTAGCGTCAGAAAGTTGGATATGGATCTGTTGCTCTGGCTTGTGTTTCATCTTTTTTTTTTTTTTATCATGTTCTTGGATCAGACATAAAGAAACAACTTCTCTCTCTCTCCCCTCTCCCCTATCTCTCTCTCTCCACAGATCCAAAATGACTTTTACTAAATGGCCACAGGTCGGAGCTTAGCGCTGATCCATCGAAGAGCACCACGAGTGGATGAAAACAAGCAGCCTTTAATCTGGAAAGGATTCCTCTTCTCTGTGCTAAGAGTCTGCTAACCGTGTGTAAGGACCACTGGGAGTACAAGAATCAAGTCAAGGACACGTTCACCCCCCTCAGCCTGCAGGAAGATGGGAGTGAGAAAATAAAGCTCTGTGGAGTCAAGAGGAGCTTAATGAATTCCGAGGAATCTTAAAATAAACAGCTTGCATTTGTGTCAGTCTGTGGTAGAGAATCAGGCAACCATGTGGACACTAGCTGCGACTGTCCACTGTCTCCTGGCCGCTGCGCTGCTATTGGCTAGCTGCCTCCAATCAGCGATGGCCACAGAGGATGACGTCACGCCGCGCATCAGCTTCTCCTACAGTAAGTCAAAATATTCACCTGTCATCTTTTTGTTTTGTTTTTTTCCACCAGTTTTTAAAAAAATGATGAATCATCTGCTAAACGCCTCCCCTGACCGCTGATGCTCAATCAGCTTAAAACCCTCCGAGCACACTCCTAAATCTGAGGGCGTCTGCATGGGACTGTTAGAGTTTCATCATTTTTATCCTTTAAAGAAACACAAAGCCAATCGCAAAAATGTCAGAAATATATTTAATGTAAGATGCAAATGTCCAATCCTTAAAAGCCTTTTCTCTGGTAATGTTTAAATTGAAACCCAAATTTAAAAAATCACAACAATAAAGCATAAATGTAACATCTATCTTGCCGGTCCCAAGCATGCAAATCAAGCAGATGGAGCATGAACAGATTTAAATTAGAGTGTCATAAATTTCCTTATCATACTTGGTGTATAAAACTAGGACTGGAGCTGCACTGCAAGACAAGACCAGTATTTCTTTATTTCACTGTCGTCAACAAAAGATCATTAAATGACAGATGCTTTTTTTTTTTTTTTTACCCACTGCTTTAGCCTCAGTCTTTCATTCTGATTTTATGTCCATCAAGTGTATATTTATGAGCCCTTTATAGGTTTGTTGTTTTAAAGAGAGGCAGCTTGAAAGATAAAAAAGACAGCCAAAGGACAATATGCTCACTACAGACGAGAAACCTGCTACAACAGTTGTAATTTAACTCATCAGCAAGAAATGAGGAGTCTCCTTTTGTCTGAAGGACCAAGGGACACAAAAAATTTCAATTTGCACCACTGTTGTCACTGTGGATATCAAATGCTGTGTGTGAACAGAGAGCTCGACAGAAATACCACTGTTCACTAATGTGGGCGGGGCTTAGCAGATTGCCAATTCCACACAAATAACATCATTTGGGTCAGCGGTGAGCAAACGCAACAAACACAGCTGCAACAAGTGCGCAGCGAAGCAGCCTTTGCGACCGTGCATTCGCAGAGACATGTGAGAGACCGCAAGCGGCTGCAGGCCCAGATGCACACATGCACATCTACACTACAAAATACCGCCTCTCATAAATACATGCAATTATAAGTTTTGTTCCCTGAGGATCTTTTTTAGGATTAGCTGTCATTTTGCATGAAATTTACTGTCTTGTTGCTTCTTTTTTTTTTGACGGAGCAACGGGGGGAAATATGCGTGCCGTAACACGTGACTCCTCGGAGTGAAGAGCAAACAAAGCGCAATAATTCGAGGCCAAGCAGTCATTCTGCTGCACACATAGTCTGGCTCTATACCTACAAAAGCACTTGTTTCTTCCTCCCTTGTTGCTTCTAGCTGACCTTTGGGTAATACGCTGCTGAGTGCAACAGTTTATCTCACAAATGGAAACTTAATGTCTCTACCGGCGAATCCACTGATTGAATGGCAGACCTTTTTGCACCTGACTTCATCAGTGTATGTAATTACTCCACACAGACTGCAGCACTTCTTTTTATAATAACTGTGGATTAAGCTTTTATAATTTAACAACATGGATGCTGTTTTTCAGTATTTGTTCAGCTGGCAGCTTTTTTTTTTTTTTTGTTGTAATTGATTGATGCATTATGGGAGCTTATGACAAATGAGGTAGCTGTTTGGATGTGGCTCACTGGGGAAGCTGACTGCTTTTCAGGAAAGCCTCTCTCAACACCTACTTTCCAACATCCTGATGTTGTAGCTGTTGAAATGCAGTTTTACTTAGCCAACAAGTTGCTTCTTATAATTAGTTCCCCGTTTTCTACGATGTATTTCTGCCCTCATCCATGCAGTTCCAGCTGCAACCAGCGTGTAGGCTTATATGGTGTAGGTGTGTGTTGGCCCCCGTAAACACTACCTGTCTGAATCTGAAGCGCGTCCCTCCTGAAAACACACTCTGATGCCTGTTTTCTTCGCTCCTCAGCCAACTCGGTGAGGCGTCATCCTGTGATTCACAGGCACCACCTCAAATTGGCATCAAGAACAACCTTTCATATACTTGAGCCATTTAACTTCTTCTTTTTTTTTTTTTCCTCAAAGAGCTAAATGGATTAAATTGGCCCAAGGCTGGTTCCCAGCAAGTGAGTATTTTGCAAACCACTGATGTTTCTTTTTCCCCCCACTTTGCTTTTCTCTCCGCTCGGCATTCACAATCTAAATTTCATGTATTTTGACGCGAGCGGTTAGTGATTGAAGTTGTCAGTTGGAGAGTGTAAGTAGTAGTGTGAGACAACATGCTTTTCAACTGATAACATGGGGGAGAAAATCTTATTTAAATGTCACTGGCGCTGATTGTAACCTATTCAATAAGAGCACAGCTTTGCATAAACAGGACCCGCAGCATCACCGACATACTAAACATTTCGTATATAAACTAGCTTCGGGTTCGACTTGCGCCATTGGAACCAACCATGTAAAGCAGGTTAACCCTTCAAACCTTCATTTTTTTGCTTTGTGTTGTTGGTTAGAAAAGGGAGACCCGGGCTGTTTTCTCGAGGGTGGACCCTTGCCCTTTTCCTGGAAAGGCGTCCCTCTTCTTTTTGTCCTCCTTCCCTCTCCTCTCGCTCCCTCCTTCTCTCCTAATGAGCAGGCTAATCTCTCATGTGTAGTGAGTGGAGGTTTTTGTGGTTGCTGCAGTGGGAGAGCTTGTCTGGTTTTCATTATGGCTCTTGTGCAGAGAGGCAGCACAAAGGATCATGGGACTTGAAGCAGTACACATCGGTTAGGCATGCGGCATGTATCGCTGCTAGTTATCAGAAACTTCTCAGGCAGGATGCTGCTGTCTTTCTCAAATGGAGATGGGTTATTTTTGTGCTTTAGTTTTCTGTTCTCTTGAAAAAAATGAGAACAATTCAGGTTCACACTTTTTTTTAATGTTTTTTTTTTTGTTTTGTTTTTTTAAACAAAATCTGGCTTAAGTATATGAACTGTTGTAAATCTGTTTCCTCTTTAAGTGACTGTAGATGAGAGGATTGAAACCATTGTCATCTGTGTCTGTTAAACATAAAGCTACAGCAGAGGGAGAGCATGGCTTTGTCCGAAGCACTTAAAAAAAAAAAGAAAAGCTCTCTTTAGTTGGGTAAAGTTACAGGAGCCAGATTTGGTTTCGGAGCTGCTTTTATTTGTTATTTGCATTTTATACATTTCATTATGCTGCCACTCTTAATATATTCTATTTTATTTATTAAGTTTGGTGGAGTTCTACCGTGCATTATCACAGCCATATTTTCTTTATTTGTAAGACTTGTACATGCATCTTCCTTCACAGTCACTGCAGATGCTTAAGAAAAATTAACAAGCACTAAAAAGCCAAGCAGTGGAAATAGGAGCAGCACTATTTGCCGACTTTGTTATGCACCGTGGCGTGGATTATATTGGCCTGTATTGGAGTTTCGTGCAACTTTGGAATTCAGTCTGTGGCATCCATCCATCCATTATCTATACACCGCTTAATCCTCACTGGGGTCACGGGAGGGCCGGAGCCTATCCCAGCCATCCTAGGGCAAAGGCAGGGGACACCCTGGACAGGTAGTCGGTGGCATTTTAAGGTGAAATATATTTGTGTAAAACGTTTGTTTTAGCATGACAGAAAGTGGGCTAATTAACAGCTTTTTTGCTTTTGTCTACAACAGAAGTCGATGTGAGCTTTGTGGAATAAAAATAAGAAACGTGTGTTGACTTAAAGCTTACACTCTGCACCAAGTTCAGGATCCTACAAAAGCATTTAATCTCATTAAGTGGGGATCAGTACTGACTTCACACAGCCCACCACTTTACATTTAGTTTCATTTTTGCTTTCTTCTTGTCTAGCTTCGGTCCCTTTCGGGCCCATAATAAAGACGTAACGTAGAAGACGTGGTCATGTTCAGTTCAATCAGTCGACCTCCAATACACTTATCAAAACTGAGTTCATGCGTCCACATTTATCACTTTATATGATGTGACTAGATGGTGCAAAAACCCTTCATGGTGAACCACGCAGCTTTACCAGCAGCTCAACTAGTTTACTGGTTGTTGTAGCTGGACAGTATCTTAATGTTTCTGTAGTGAAAAACTGCAAGAGCACTCGTGCTAAAACTAATGTTACGCATTGTTATGTGAATTAACACACTATAATTTAGAGTAATCAGGTTGTTAATTATAATAATCAAATGTCTTGGAACTGTGTGTAAATGGCAACTTCAGTCATGATATCACACAATGAAAACACATAATAAAAGGCAGCGCCTACATATTGTGACCAGTCAGCAAGACGGTTATAACTGTGATTACTGTAGCATAATTTTCAGTCACTTATCAGGATTCTTGTCGTCCATGTTTGTCGGAAATTTCCTATAAATACTGATTGAATCAATTCATCCATTCATACTGAATCACAGTCCTGTCAGTCCCGCTGTTTCCTGCTTTTATTGTAATAACAGTGCACAGTGACAGGTGAACTGGAAGGGACGGCGTGTAAAACAAAGGTTACACAAGCCAGATTTGAAACCAACGGCATCATAGGTAGCATCAAGACACAGTCGGTTACTGTTTTCCATCAGTCAAGGTTCGTACGTGATGTACTGTGTGCTGTACAAAACAAAGGAAACGGATCAGACCAGTCTTAGCGTTTCACTCAGGCTGCTGGTGGAGAAGCAAATGAAAGTGCCCCTTTAGCCTTTAAGCCAAGCACGCTGTGTATGCTCAGTGTACACAGTGTCCTTTCTCGTTTACGTTGGTTTATGTTTGGCGAATATTGTGCGCTTTCTCTCATGCATGCTAATCCACTGACCTTGGCAGTGTGTGGATCGCAGTTCAGACACGGAGGAGGGGCGGCAGGAGGGAGGGGGTCAGTCCAAATACTCGTGAGGTTTTAGACATGCTCCGATGCCCACCTAAAACCCAGCAAGGACACGCCCACTGATCCTGAAAGAAAAGCGGCCTGTGGCTTCCAGCAGAGGTGGCACTCACAAGTGCCTGCATAAAAAACCATAACAGCCGCAACAATGGAGCATAATT